ATTGATACCTTAAACAATATCGAGTCTTTCTTATGAACACAGTCTATTTCCATTTACAGTATTTAGATTTCTTTTTTCTGTTTTTTGAGAGATGGATTCTTGCTCTGTTGCCCAGGTAGGAGTACAGTGGCTTGACCATAGCTCACAGCAGCCTAAAACTCCTAGGCTCAGGTTTATCCTCCTGCCTCAGCCTCCCAAGTAGCTGGGACTACAGGCGCCGTGTGCCATCATGCCTTGCTAATTTTTAATTTTTTTGTAGAGATGGGGTCTTACTATGGTGCTCAGGCTGGTCTTGAACTCCTGGCCTCAAGCCATCCTCCTTCCTTGGCCTCCCAAAGTAGGTTTACAGAGCATGGTACATATGCCACAGATGACGACTGGACCCATTGTCGCAGCAGGGTAAACAAAAGGAAGGGCAAAGAGAGAGCGATTATATTCTTGTAGTATGGAGATAGCATGCCTAGATTCAAGTGTGCGATTTATAAATTGCAATGTAAGGAAACGGTTATGTATGTTTATTGTTTATATTTAGAGAATTAATATTTTCTCACTGAAGACAATTTAGAAAGTAAAAGCAAAGTACAGAAAATATTGATTGTGATTTTTTTTTTCCTTCTTTTCGTCTCCCTTACCCCCGCATCTCTCTTACTTTCCCACCTCTGCTTCTCCTTGCAGAAATTCTTGAGTTTGCCAGAGAGATTGGTATTGATCCCATCAAGGAACCAGAACTGATGTGGCTGGCGAGGGAGGGCATCGTGGCCCCGCTACCTGTGGAGTGGAAACCCTGGTAAGTCAGCAGAGGGTGTGGCCCACTGACTTGGCCTTTCAGAGGCAGAGGGAACCTAACACTGGAGAATCTGTTTTAACCAGCCAGCTTTTCCAAACCTGTCCTGCACAGTCAGGGACAGCTCTGTGTCATTCCTCTGCTAGGCTACCTGATGTTTCAGGCCTGTGCATAGGCTGACTGGATGGTCCCTACGATGGGGTTCAGCACTTATATCCAAGTCCACACAGCAGCTGCTGCCCTGTGTCAGGTCCTTTAGCACCAGCATCTGTTTTGGATGTGCAGAGAATGTATTGTTACTCTTTGCATCTCCTTGCAGACTGATAGCAAAAGTGACATTGTATCTCCTTAGCATGTCCAAGTGGACACTGGTGCTAAGGTTTGTAGGCGAGGCTACACAGACTGGCAAAGGCTTTTTGTCTGCCTTGGGAACGCAATGACTCTGCCATCCCTGAATTCATGTAACCTATTCATGAATAGGTTCCACAGTTGTGGATTCATTCATATTTTCAGTTTCGGTATGAGCTCTTTGAATTGCAAGGAGCAGTGACTCACTAGGGTCATCTCAGCGAAACAAAGTCTTATGGTGAGGAAAGGGAGAGTGGCCAAGATGGGGAAGCTAAAAGCTAAAAGGAGCCAAGGTCACTGCTGCCATCTCCCTCCTCCTGAGGACCACATTGTCTCCCACTCACGGTAACACCATTGTCTGCGTTCTCTGTGTCTGCTCTCGAACTCCGTCTTCCTCATCACATGTGTAGAGCACTTTCCAAGTTGTCTCCCTAAAGTGAGTGATTTCCTGTCTATCCCAAACTGGTCCCCAGGTGTCTTAGGGGGTCCCCTCTTACGCTGGCTTTGTGGACAAGGTGTAATCACCTTGTTCTTGCCCATACCATTTACTGCGTTGGCCATACTTCAGAGTGACTACAGTTGTTGCCTTACTCTTCTCAGATGAAGAATCCTCATCCTTTAGCTTTTCCTCCCATGGCAGCCTCCATGTTGTTTTAGCTGCCTTTCCTTGGACCTTCTCCAGTTTCATGATACCTTTCTTGTAGTAAATCCGTCAGCACTTTACACATGTGCTGAGAACTCATGGTTGTGTTTGTAGGGTACGTTTATAGGATAGTGGTTTCAGTTTCCAATCCCCACCCTGAGGGAAGGTAGGAAACTATCACTGGTTATGGGCCAGCTGTGTGCCAAGCTTTGTGCCAGCTGCCTTCATGTACCTGCCAGTGGTGGCTAACACTCCCTGTCTTATAAGGACAGTGTGAACTATTTTTCACTTTTTAAAAATAATGTAAGTCATTAAAACTTATGTATGCATGTCATCTTTACCATACTCCTTTCACCAAGGGTATTTATTATTAATTGGTAAGTTTCTTCTAGACCTTTTAGAACACACACCCCTCCCCCCCACATGGTTTGGTTTTTAAACGTAAGTGCCATATTATGTACACTGTTCTTCAATATCAGTTTGTACAGGTCTATCTTATTCTTTTATCAGCTGTATACTTTTCCATATATAAATGTACCACAATTTTTTAAAATCTTGATTTATTTGACTACTGTTATATTGAAGGATATTTAGATATTTTCCAAATTCACTATGTGGGAGTTTGTTTCTGGATTCTCTGTTCTCTTCCATTGATCTATTCATCTATCTTTTTTTTTGAGACAGAGTGTCACTCTGTTGCCCTGGCTAGAGTGAGTGCCGTGGCGTTAGCCTAGCTCACAGCAACCTCACACTCCTGGGCTCAAGCGATCCTCCTGCCTC